TTTTCATATTTATATCCTGTTCATAGCCTGTACATAGCTTGTACTCACTACAGCCTGTACATACTTATAGTTATAGAATATTCACAACATACTTCATACCGTGTACATTATAACATACCATAATAGACCCATTTCTGTAATATATTTACATATCTATATTTATTGTAATATATCTATATCACTAAAGCACTTCTGGATGGATGCAAACTGCATTTCGTTGCCCTGTACCTGTGCATGTGCAATGACAATAAAGTTGAATTCTATTCTATTCTCTTTTAAAAAAAACAACTAAAAACATCTTTTTCGAATTGCATTTTGTTACCTTCTGTCTGTTTTTGTTTTTTTTGTGAAGCACTTTGAGATCTTTTTATCTAGAAAGGCAAAATAAAATTTTACTTACTTACTTCATATAATTAAACCATTAAATCAAGTAAATTTAATGTGACCAGATTCCATGGAGTTAATTTTCTACACTGTGGTTAAGTAACAACATTACATAAAACATTTAGGTGTAATCAGATTACTTAAAGTCAGGATTTCTGGCATATCTATTTGAGTGTATTCTGTTATGTATAGAGGTTTTTGGTGGGTGTGCAGTTGAAGCCGAGGTGGTTGGATCAGGATGCTGAATTTCAGCATGTGAAGGGCCACTTGTAACTACACTACATCTGTCGAAATCACTCAGGCGCTCACTCTGGCAGAAAGGCACTTAGGTCAGGTGGGTGACAGAAATCTTGCATGAATTCAGACTTGACTGATATCACACTGCTGAGAATCAGACCTGAGTTAGAGTTTAGTGCCACATATATAAAAACTGCTTGGTTTCGGACAGTTTTTTAGCTCTTAAACTGCTCGCTTCAGACGAGAGAGAAACTGAGGAGAGAAAAGATATAAAATAATTTGACCCATCAAAGCAAAGAGCTTTTCCTTTGCAATGTTTCTGTTTTATAATTTCTCCGTGCTTACAGTGAACACAGTGGTCACAATGACTGTTTCTAGTGTGCAGCTGAATGTGTCAGTAAGTAGCGCATATGAAATAGTTAAGGTATTTTAATAGGAAGCATCACATCAAGAATCAGGAATGCAACACATGAAGCTGGACCTGTCTGACAGTGATTACATAACGCAGCTCACACAGTGACACTCACGCAAACGCATACACAGACACACACTTCTTCACACAGTCGTTCCCCGTTCCTCGCTCTGTTTATTTAGACATGAGATCCAGGCCGCTTTCCATCATCTATTTATATTCTTTTGTTGATCGTTCCTTTCTTCCTGCCAACTGGTGGTACAGCCATGGTGATGATTACTGCTGCTAGGAGTGTTCCTCCGTACTGGGTTTGTTCAGCAGCCGACGCCTTGCATAACAGAAAATGCACCCAGAGATGGGAGAGAGGGGATCTGGATATAATTAGGTTTGTTTTTGCCAGGAAAGCCACAAAGAAACACCACCAATGGCCTTTTTTCTTTATGTGTGTGTGCACACACACAAAGCATTTATGACATCATATTGTAGCAATGCAGCAATGTCAGTATCCACAGCAGGGTGCTTCTGATCACATGCAAAACCAGTTTTGGACCCAGAACCTTGCAAAGCCGAAAATACTTTTATGCATTTAGTTTCAGTCCATTTCCCTGCATGTCCCACTCCTCTAACTCTTCCTTGGTGCCAAACTAAACCAACCTCATCTCATTTGTGCACCTTGAAGCTCATCTCACTCACCGGGCAGTCAGCCTATTTTCCTTGCACCCCTGTGTCGTCCTGTCCTACTTCCCGCTTCCATTTCTTTGAAATCATGGAGAGGTTTGTGAACCAAGGTGACTATTCTGCGTCAGCCGGTGGGCATGAGCAGGCGTCCCGTGTAGCAGGCTGACTTGGAAAAAAAGGCATCCATCAAATTTAAACGTACCCTACTCTTTCTTTGCAGAATACTCATTATTCTGTCTGCTCTGTCCCTTTGTGCTTCTTCCTTCAGGCACTTTGAAAAGAACACAAGCATCCTTACTGCCTCAACTGAAGTCGTAAGCCAATATCAAACAGTGATATGCTTCTAAATTCACTGATTAAATACGCTGTTCTCAGAATCTGTTGGTCCTTGTACTCTACAAGACCAAGGTGCCCTGTGGTATCTGGCAAATTGATGTTTGCAGAGGACCTTTTCAGATACTTCAAGCACACTAGAAACCCTGCAAACTTTGGCCTTGTGTCTTACTAGTTTTGGGGTACTTACATGGAAATAAGAGCCCACTTTAATGGTCTAAGGGGACCTATGTATACTCCAGGAAGTTTTTGCAGTTTGTAGTTCCTGCAGTGCTCACATGGAAAGTCTGGGACGCGTCCTTGAACGACTAGAGAACTACAAAAATGTTTCTACTATCTGAAAATACCAAAATTAGCGTGGGCCTTTTGTATTTCACTAGCTGGGCCCACGTCCTCATTTTAGGTTTGACAGCGTTTTACTAGGTAAAAGTGATGCTTTGACATGAATTGAGCTGTGGTTTGGGGAAGGCCTCGAAGGGGACTGGCGACGGCTCCCGGGCCTGGCAGATCCCCGTGTACTGAATAGAAATGAAAAAGTTAAAGGATTGAGAACAAGGAGGGAGGGAGGGGCACGTAAACGAGAATGAACAGCTTGCAGAGCTGGGGGAACCTATATAGATGAGAACCGGAAGGAGCGTGTTGGGAGGCGTGGTCCTGCTCCTGAAATTCCAATACATACATACAATACATACAATACATACATTCTCTATCACCATTTCCATTGAACACGCTGACTTTAGAAACTGTTTACTTAACTTCCAACAGGCTTTGATTGTTAAGACATGAGTGATGTTCTATTCACCTCATTAGTCAGTGTGCCATAACTGATTTAAGCGCCTTTTTGCACTTTCTAGGATTTGGATCATAGTCATGATGGCTTAGATTAAGGCTGTTTGTTAGATGCTGCTCATCCCTCACTCCCTTTACCTTCCCTCTGCTTCCATCCGTGCTGCCTCTCTGGCAAGTTTGAAAAGAAAGTTGCAGAGAGAAGATTTCTGCTTTTTAAATTGCTGGGTTTGGCCGGAGATGCAGCGAGAGTGAAAGGGCAGCTTGGATTGAGGGGGAGGCTGAGTCACTGCAGAGACAGACAGTAAAACTCATTACGCATTTGTTCTTGACTTTTTCTTCACTTCCTAACAAGGCCTCGGGCCTCTGTTTGTTTGTTCTCGTTGTGGATGCACTTCACTGCTTGTGCGCTGCTGACCAATGCTTGGCCATCTGTCATGAAGGAAGGAGATTTGGATTCGTGCACTGTTTTATGTGTATATCTGTTGGGGAGTAGTCTGAACTTGATATTGGCAGTTTTTCCCTGTGCTTTAAGTCACAGCGTTGCTCATTTTTACTCATCGTATTACCAGCTTGTTGCAGTATTTTGCCAGTCTTCTCTATTATTGCAGCTCCAGCTGTGACGTTTTCTCTCTGCTGCCAATCTCCCAGAGCAGCGTGTTATGTTGCTGAATGTTTCACAGGCAATAATCAGCAAATTCATCTAAACACGCGATCTGTCTTCACCCACTTTGCTGTTCTTGATGTTTGACTTAATCTCCCCCACTCCGTTTAGCAGATATCTACAGAATCTGACTTTTCGGAATTGCCTATTCTGTTTAATGCTTCACTGAATAAAAAATGAAGTGCTGTGCTGTACAAGAACATATAAGCAAAGATTGGGGTGCTTAGTTTCGGTGTTAGTGTTCTCTGTATTTTGTATTAATGATGGAAAAAGCGATTTGTAATGTGAGAGTTATCACCTTGCCCCGCAGCGCCTCAGAGCTGCGAAGCGTTAAGCAATTTTACTGTTCTGGTTCACTATCACCACTCTCATCAATCTCATTTCCAGCAGCAGGCACCTTCTTCCAGCTAAAGAAGCTTTGGTAAACCCGCCGTTCCGTATGTGATCAGGATGATTAACGCGGAACACAAAGAGCAGCTAAAGTACTGGACATTAACCTCTTAATATCCAACACTGACCCTCTAGGGTTTGGGTTAGGTTAACGGCCACTACTGTTTTCATTTGTTTGCTTGGAAACATTGTTTATGTGTGAGACTTCATTTAGGAGTTAACATCTTCTAGCTTGTGAAAGTTTTCCTATTTGGTATGTGGCTAAATAAAACCCAACCCGAACCCTAGGAGAGTTGACACCGTAGATTTTAACAGGTTAAACTGAAAGTTAATGAGTAAATATTTAAGTGGAAAAAAATGTTGCTGGGTGTATAAGACACCATAAGGAATCATTTGTTTGTATTTATTTTATTTTAGCAAACTTTCTTTGTAGTTTTAATAAATATTTTATTTGAAAAAGTATTATTGATGTCCTGCAAGCTGTAGATGGTATAAGCTTGTTTAAGTTCACTTCCGCTATGTATGAGTGGGGCTTTTTGGGTCCAACGATGATCGTCTTGATTTCATTTGTCTGAATTTCTGGTACTGACCTCTGAGACTCGATGACCGCCGGTGAAAAGGCAAATTTTGTGTTATTTTTGGCCACAAAAGCAATTAGCAGGAGCAGTGTGCCAGAGTTCAAGTGTTAGGGAGACAGAGGGAAATGGCACTGGGTCCAGGTCTGCTGCTGAGCTGAAGGATTCAGCGGCCAAAACCAGATTTTATTTTTAATTCATACAGCAGGGGAGCTGAGGGGACAAAGCACCACACAAACATACAAATATAAGCCCTCCCTCAGTGACTCTTTCCCTCTATTTCATCCAACCATCCTCATCGTCAGGCTCGGAGTCTTGAAATGAATCCTCTGCTCTCCTTTTCCTGGTGGTTGGCTTAGTTTACTCTGTCTATGTGTGTGTGTGTGTGTGTGTGTGTGTGTGTGTGTGTGTGTGTGTGTGTGTGTGCTCATGCCCCAGTAAAGAGCAGAGCTCTGTCACTGTAGCTCATGTCGGTGTTTGTATCGTATCTTTCCTGCTTCTAACCAAGCATACCTTCTCTTTTTTCTCTCTCCTTTTCCAGTCCATCATGGAGCAGTTTAACCCGTGCTTACGGAACTTCATAGCCATGGCAAAAAGCTATGAGAAGGCGCTCACCAGTGAGTACACCAACCATTTCTTGTTTACCGTCTGTCTTCGTCGTTCTCTCGTTCCTCCAGTCGTCCAGGCAGAGGGCCAGCTCACCCGACACTTGGCGCTGCTTCTGTATCGTCTTGATTTACCTGGAGACTGGTTAGCTTTAGGGTGACGATGGCTCAGATATTCACGTTAAGAGCATTGTTGATGCCAAGCTTACAATCCCCATCAGAAGCTTTTAAACTACACACACTAGTTTGTGCCTAGATCTTATTCACACGTTCGGTATTGTGCTGTGATGTCCTGTGATTGTTCCGCTGTGATCTCTTCCTCCTTTCTGTCCACCAGCAGTTCCTCTCATCATTCTCATTAACGTCTGTCTCTACCTTTTTATCCTTTGTCATTGCTTTTTGAGGTTTGAATTGGTGTGATTGTGTGTGCGTGGGGGGCAAAGAGTAGGGAGGTGTGGGAAACTGAGGTATACACTCAGTCAAGGTCAAAGACAAAACACAGGAAATATCCAGAGGGAGCTAAGTGGAGCATTAGCCAATGCAAAGTGGAACAGGGAGAGTCGTGAGAATAACGGTACCCCTACCCCATGAGGCCCAAGAAATGAGAACGAGCAGAGCCGGTATTCAGGACAAGACAGGATAAAAAAATGTTTTGAAAAAAGGAGAAGGTAGAAGGAAAAGACTGCGAGACAAATGTTCACAAAAACAGAAATTCCAAAATTCTCAGCAGTTATTGGAATCCTGGAGAATGTCCAGTGGCTTATTCTTTAACTTCACAAACTCTGATTAACTAAAGCTACGCAGTCAGCATGGATAACGTGATTTCATGCCTCTGGGTCAGGCCGATAATGCTTGTACTGATGCCTTGTACAGTATATGTATTTAGATAACACACGCCTCCAACCATGTTGAGCTCATTTATTGATAAGAAAACCTTCCAGCTCTGCTCTTAGATGTCACTCTGTGGAGGGAGGAGGATGAGGAGGAGGAAGAGGAGGTTATCGGGGTCGTATCATATATTCAGTGATGGTGCAGACTTGCTTGGTATGCTGCGTGCGGTTTTGAACCGGGCTCTCCTTTGTGTGCTCGGAGAGGAAATGCAGGGAAGACTCGGCAGCCTGCAAGAACAATAAAGAAGGCCTCACTCTAGTCTGATAGATAAGGCTAAAAATAGCCCTGCGACTCTCTGAGTGGGGATTACACTTCATCAATGCCAAGCAGCGGCACAGAGGCAGAGTTTAGAGTGGGGCTGGGCACCCAGCAAGCATCTATTGTCATAGGAAAAATGCCAGTGCAGCCCCTCCTCGTACTAGAAGTGGGGCGGCAGCTTGACATCTCAGCGGACTGAGAGGACCAGAATGATGCAGGAAGGAGCCTGCTTTCTGGGCTCGATGAGCACAGTGTGGTTTGGGATGTAGCGCTCAGCCAAACTCTCTCTTTATTAAAATCTTAATTGCAGCGTGGTGCAGGGCTGCAGCAGAAACGTGGGAGCTGTGCGGCTGGAACATGCTGTGCTTGTGGAGAAAGAGGAGAACACATGTGAAATCAAATAAAAGGAAGATGTCAAAACTGGGCTGTTCAGCTGAGACTGAGATTTCTGTCTTGTTTGGTGACATCACTGAAAAATCGTTGGTCTCAGTGGAACCTTTAAGCTTACAAGAGTACAAAGATGTGTCTACTGATGGCTCTGTGATTTAGTAATGGCCAACCTTTTCTTCAAAAGCAGTTAATTAAAAACTAGTAACTTTAGTTTATCTTTAATCTGCTTGTTTGGTTCAGTTACCATAAAACAGGAGAATATTTGAAGCTGTAATCAGGAGCTGTCTTTTTCCAAATTTAGCCCATTTATAAACGAGACGTTCGGGTTTTGAGCTGAATCAGATTTGTCTGCTTTCTGTGGAGGAATGTGAGAGGAGGCTTGATTGAGGTTGTGGAAAGCTTGATTTTGAAATTGATGACATTAACATGAGTCACGTGTCACCAACCTCAGCTGATTTAAACCTTGTTTATGTTTCATCTGCTCTGCTCTGTATTGGCTTTATATCACTGTTCTAATCCTCTTTACAGGCAGGTCCTCCTTTTCCTCGTCCTCTGCCTTCTTCTTCTTCTTCTTCTTCTTCTTCTTCTTCTCTTCTTCTTTATTTTTTCTCCTGCTTCTGTGCCTCTCTGTCACTTTCCAGCTGACAGACAAGCAAAGCATTCCCTGGAGCTAATCCGGCTTCACCTGGACCTGCTCTCCTCCCGGCTGAGATTTCGCTGCACATCGATTAAATTAGCCTTGCTCACCCAGCCATCTTAGCCTTACCTCCATCCCCTTGCTTTCGCATCCACTCATATCCTACCTAAGCTTAACTCAAGCCAGGCTTCAGAGAAGCCGGAAAAGGGTCTTGGCCTGTCACTGTCATAGCTTACGGAGGAGGGTTGCACTGCTGTGTAAAGACTTTTGTGGCTTTTTATTCCTGGTTTTCATAAAAGAGTCCTCACAAAATCGTCTTACTGGAGAAATGAAATTGTTAAGTGCTTGTGCAGACTGAGAAGCCAGACGCTGTCTTAATTTACAGAACAATAACTTGCATAGCTCAGTGTCTCCGCGGACTTCTAGATGTGAATAGATTTTCATTGTTTTCCATGCGGGGATATGAATACTTGTCATTTTCCTGCTCTCTCTGTGGGATTCTGCATGAACCTTCTCTGGCAGTTCAAAACACACTCATCAACATGACGGCCCTGTAATAAACTCAGCGCTCATCCATATGTATATCCTGACTAGGCATGTGTCCTCTGTCATCATGACTTTCACTCCCCGTGTAGCTGACCCCTGACCTGCTTTAATTCACCGTCACCGCTGCCTGAGGCTGTCTTGCCCTCATTTCTAAGCCCTGAGTCACCGCCGTGTCTCGGCTCGTGTCCCCGGCTTCTGTGGCGATACACCGCAGAGAATAATGGTCGACAGCATTTGAATTGTAGAGTGCTTACACATCACTGCTGTGAAAGGGTTTGTCAGCATATTATTATGTATGGGGCTGTAAAGATGTGAGGTGCCATTAGGATTTTAAAGCTTTATTTCATCCAAATTACGAGAATACTTATTTTTTCTGCTTATGCCATGCAAATCATTTTTATTGTCTGTCATAATGTAAATTTCAAGTGCACCAAGTGGCACATATTCAAAAAAGCAAACATATTGTTCACCTACTTGGTGTTTTTGCTTATATTTCAGAACCTCTACAGCATCTGTGTTTAATTTAGTCCAAAATCTGAGGGTCCAGGTTCATAACTAATTTGATTAGACTAAAACATTTATAACCTGTATATGAAGGACAAACTTGGAGTTTTAAACCACCAAAAGAAATTTAACTCAATCAGCTAGTTTATTAAACTAGAGAAGAAACATTACTCTGCTGGTCTAGATTAAATTAGATGAGATTAGATTAGATTAGTCCTTATTGTCTCCCTTGGGAGAAATTTGTCTTGGACAAGCGAGGGCGACACGTCACATAAAATCATAACTTCACACACTGATAATCGCCCTGAAGTTTGGTGCCTCATACCTTTATCAAGACAATGAGGAAATCGGTTTTAAGATTAATCTCAAGCAGCTGCATATAAGTTACAAGTGCCATTAGCTTTCTTTATTCCATTTGTAGTTCGTTACAGCATTATTGAGCAGATTCAAACAGGTTTTGGATCCATAAGGGTAAACAATGTTTAAAATGCCCTCACGTTATTCGTATTACATGGCACTGAATAAAAAAACAAAACAAAAAAACAATACAAATATTCATATTTTATATTTTTCATGTTTCATTTCTTCTCATTGTATTTCCACTTCTCCAAAGAGGCTGTTATAGTTTCATAATTATTATTTTTTAAATATACAGAATTACCTTTTGGGATGGATGCAAAGTGCCTTTATGCAGTACGACTGATTTCAGGCTGAGTTTTCCTCCTCCACTCATCTGTATCACACTCACAACCCACAAATAAACGATAAAATAAAATAAAAGTTTCAACATCAACACAACAGACAAAGTCATCATCAGTTTCAAAGAATGGAATAAGATCCTTCTCACGATGGTTCCTGGAGCCGAGAGGCTTTTCTCACTGAGCCTAGACTAACTCATGTGACCCTGGCTGAGTGAATAACCAAGGGACAGATCTTCAAAGTCTTCATCACTACAATGTTGTGCAGCCAGAGACTAAATATCACCAGACTCTGATAAACTAGACCAGTTTAAATGGGAGTTGATATTTCGACTTAATGTGATGCAGATCTATAACTGATGACAGGTCAGGGTAACTGATGGATGATTTAATTTTGGAACTGTATCCAGAAAAAAGATCAAATAAACAAAAGTAGCAGACATAAAATGATTCTGTGATCTCTCCATACCAAAAACTTGAGCTCTTTCCCCTCCCCTCAGTTCCTGCTCTCTCCGTCACGCTCTGTGTGTGCTCCGTCACATGACTCTATTTCCTCTATTTTCTGAGTGCTGCCTACTCCAATCAGAGAACGTATCAGATGATGATGATTAAAAACGTATAAACCTAAAATTTAGATCAGTGAAATGCAGGATTTGTCGGGTTGTCGGTTTACTTCAATGTGATGTCTACTTGAAAACTGCATTGTTTTCACATTTTAGACATAAGATTACTGTATGATGGGAGGAAACTAAGAAACAAACTCATTGTCAATATATAGCCCAGAATAGAGAAACCTTTTTTTTCCCTTTATGACCTGAAAAAGAACCTTTGTGCAACTTACAACAAAATTACTTTTTTTAAGCATTAAAAATGTTTCTCCTGGTAAATTATAAAAGAGGAAAGTAATAATAAACGAGGTAAATAGGAAATAAAAAAGTCAATTAAGAAGAAGAGAGTCTGTTGGTTTCAAAATGCCCACATTTCAAGTTTGGAAATTTACTGAGTGATTCTGCTGAATATAGGAAACCTGTTACCTGGATGGTATTCACTTTGCAAGAAAACAAAAAACATATTACATTTTCTCTGTTGACCCAGAATCTGACCAAAAAAGAAATCCTTTAAAACTGATTAGAACAGGGAAGATGAACAAATAACATGTTTGTTTTTTTAATTTTCCTGTAATTTGGATAAACTAATCCTTTAAAATAGATTTTTCCAAAGTAGTTTGTGGTGAAAGGTTGTGCTTTGCTTTTTAACCTGGCAGTCTTGAGATTTCTGTTTCCTGTAGTTGCCTCCATAGAGCTTTTTCTTTTCCCGCCTGGTCTCCATTTCCGCCTGTCGATCTCCCAACCTTACCTCTCTGGGGGAGGGGAGGGTTGTAGGGGATGGTTGCAGAGCTGAAGAAGACATCATTTCAACTCCGCACCCTTGATCTGATGCCCAATGCTTCCATGTTTCCAGGTGTCACATATGCTGCAAAGGGCTACTTCGACGCTCTGGTGCGGATGGGCGAGATGGCCAGCGAAAGTCAAGGCTCTAAGGATGTTGGTGAGTCCTTGTAGTGGCAGTAGCACCCTTGATGGGGTACAGGGGGGTTACACAAGCAGATGGTGGATGGGATCGTGCTGTAGGGCAGAAGCAGCTGATGACCAACCTGAAATTGGACACACACACCCAAACACACACTCACAGATGTTTTTCTAGCACTTAAGTGCTTCAGAACGTTGTGTAAATCTTAAAGATGAGCGTTAGCCTGTCTTTTCCTGCACTTCAGAGCTTATTTGATACATTATCACCTCCAATTCATACAGTGAAACACATTCTGGTTCGAGAAGAATTAATTCTGCATGATTGTCACAGCTTGCCCATTTGGTTAATCCCTTGTTTCCTCACATTCCGGAAAGATAAAGGCTTTCCAGTCACTTTTTTATTGCACCGCTGTGAGCAAGTAATAAATTTACAAATTTGTTTGGCATTTGGTATTCACAAGAGCGCACATGGCGAGGTGGATTTGCTTTCTATTCATAATAAGCCCTCAATATATTTACAGTGCTAATGAAAAATCTTCCTGTTTTGAATGGCGCTTCCAGCAAGTTGTCAGGATAAAAATTTCCCAGCTCCCTTTGCTCTCACGCAGCGTGTCGTCTGGTTTCGGTTGGATCAGCTCTGGTTCTGTTTGGTATAGACGCAGCTATAGTGATAACTGGTGTTGATGAGAACTAGCTGATAGCTGTTGTATGAAGCAGGACAGCACTGTTATAATTGTAGACCAGGTCACATGCCGGGGTGTGTGCAGAGTCTTTGTTAGTCCGGGATTGTGGAGGCTTCTTCTTTCCTTCACCTTGATGGGATGTAAGATAGCAGGCGTGTCCTGAATCAGCAGAGGAGAGGAGGAAGAAAGGATGGAGAGATGGTTAGAGGAGTGTGAAACAGACATATCTGAGGTGACTGAGGAGGATATAAAAGCTGCATCCATTATTCATGTGAGGACCTTTTTTGGGGGCTTCCTCGCATTTCTTCTGGAGCTACATCTTTTCGCTTTTCCTCCCTTTCTCTCTTTGAGCAAATACCGGGTAGAGCTCCAATATGAAAAGCTCTTTTCTTTATCTATTCGGTTTCGCCTCCATGATTTTTTTATGTAGTTTGAATCATTTTCATATCACACTGTTTTAGGGTTGAATGTTTAAACATCCAAGCCGGTGACTAACTTTAAATATAAATCATTAAAGCCACTTAAAAGTAGGAGGAAAGGCCTTTGCACACCAAGACTATTTTCATCATGAGTAAATATTTCTCCCAAAATGTCCGTCACAGTGTTTTGCAACTGTTTGTAGGAGTCACTTATTGTGTATATATGCAAATATGCACTACACATGAACGCTTTTCATACATTAGAGATGATTCTTTTTAAAAAATGCAAATTTTTGACTTTGTGTGCAAACTCCTTAACAGGACATCCCATCATCCATCTCTGCATCCCCATTTCCATCAGCTTGGTTGCTCTTCTGTTTGCCTTTCATGCTCTCTGTCCTCCACGACTGTGCTTCTGTAGTCTTTTTGTCTGCATGTTTGTGTTTCTTTTTCAGTTTCTTTTTCTAGCAGCCTAACCATGACTCAGCAGCCCTTTAACAACTCAGCAGAACTTCCCTCCGCCTCCAGTGAAATGACAGACTAGGCTGAGCAAAATGGATTGATGCCGTCTCTGCATATCAGCAGCGCTCAGAGCGGCTGTGGTCTGTGCAGAGCGGAGGGGGAGCCCTTCTGACGGCGGTTATTGCTTTTGTGGATTCTTTAGCATATTCCATTACTGGTGTTAAGCCTCACGGCTTCACTGAATTACCTGATGAAAACAGAAGAAAAATGTAGTTTGTGGATGATTTTGCAGTCACTCGGTATGAAGTGTGCAATTTATATCAAAGTTCTCCCAGTTAATCCATAGATGACAGTGTCTCAGTGGGATTTTCTTTTCTGCAATAGTAGTAGACAAATATGAACGTTTTCTGGAGATACTGAATTATTAAAAATACATGAGCAGGCGATGAGAGATAATTATCCAATTTTTCTCATTAGACCAATTCAATGATACGTTATAAAGTAAACAGCCTCCTTTTGCCAGTTTTGCCGGTTTTGCTCCAGAAGAAGCCGGAGGAAACACTGAGCACCATTGTTGCTGCATAATGTGGAAAAACTCCCAAGCCTGCCAGCTTATTAATTAACAGATAACAAGGGTTGTGCGTTTGGTTTTGTGTGTGTGACTGAACTAAATTTCCTCAGCTGGCACATGTCTGTAGCTGTGACCGGAGCCACGAGCACAGAATCCCAGATAAGCAAAACTGTGTGTGCGTGTTTGCTGGGGATAATCACTCATCCAGGCCTTTACCACAAACTTCATAATTAATGAGGAATGAAGGCAGATTTGTAAAATCGTCCAACTTGTAATTGTTCCTTTAATTGGGTTTTGTTGAGGAGAAAATGTGTTGGCGCCGTGGAGCTGAAGTAACAGGGCCGAACTACAGACTGCTTCAACTCTCAAAGTGAAATCTGGCAGAAAGGCTCCGCCACCTCCAACTGTACTCTCTGAAACAATGTAATTAATCACAGCGCATTAAGATGAACAGCAGCTAATGGCATTAGCACATGAGCAGAGGATGGAGAGTTGCATGTGACAGGGTGAAATGAGGAGGGGAGTGAAGTCGGGCTGAGAAATTGACCTTGATGGTCAAAGAGAAAAATTTAATGTGGGATGGAAAAAGCACTGGACTGTTGATGAATTAGCTCACACATTAGCAGCTCTGATCTTATCCAGGCTAAATGGATCACTGCCGTTCCTCTTAAATAAAAGATGGCGCGAAAGTTGATCATATTAGACATTATTGAACAGCTTTAAGTTACAATAAGTGTCCTGTTTGTGGAAGATCTGATGTTTTAATGAAATCGTGAATGAATCTTTGAGGCTGACGTTTGCAGTTTGAGTCTGTGATAGTTTTTCTTGTCCTGTAATTGTAAATGGTGAAATCCACTTTGTCAGATGGCGTTTGTGCCTAATCATTAAGCACAAGGCATTTTATAGCAGTGGCACCTGGTCAATACTGGTTGCCTGTCCTAAGTTGGTCTGCAGAGTCCACTTGAGGAGGCTGAAAGGGTGGAGGTGGGCTAAGTCACAGGTAAGTCAACCATAAAAACCACTTGGTTAGATTAAGGCATTGAAAGTTACTTATTTGGTGAAATTTAGTGGTTTGATTTAAAAGGCACCCTGCACCTTACCCCAGGTGGCAGCAACCTTCGACCAGTACCATAAGTTGCTGTAGGACCGTGTGGACAGCCTAGCTTCAGTGTGGCGAAGGAACTAGTTCCTAACTGAAACTTCTGTCTGTGTATATTCCCAGTTATCCATTTCATGGTAACCTGTAGATCCTGAAAAGATGTTTTACCTCTTCAGAGCTTAAGAAGCCTCTTAGATGAGAGGCGGAACAGCTTAAAAACCTGAAGAAGTCCAGCTGTGGTTTTTTTCAAGCTCTGAGGACTTCTACATGGGTTTGCTGTTCTGTTTCTGGCACTATCACCAAACAATGACTCGTAAAAAAAGCAAAATGTAAGCCTTGAAATATAAGCATACAGCAAAAAAGGTTGACTTAAGGATTTCTGGTGACACCAGCGGTAAAATAGTGTTGTGGATTTCTTCTCCTTACTGGCCACTTTGAGCATTTTACACCAAAAAACATGTTCATTCATTCATACAAGGCGTTTATCCTTCACATACAGCATTATATATGGAGTATATGGATGTTCACACACTGATGGATGCATCAGAAGTGATCGTGGGTTCAATATGCTGAGTGAAGCTTCGATGTCTCAGTGAGAAGCTGAAGCTGCGATCAGTGGGAGACCGCCTCTACTATTTGAGCGTGAGTCGCTGAACTAATCCAGCCTTTACCCGTGAATAGCGTTACAAAAAAAATGTAATAAGGACTAATGCATGTTTCATAATAAAGCCTCAATCTGCTTTTCAACCCATTTTCAGCACCAGTTATTAACAGCAGAGGTTTATGAATGTGTCAAACTGCAAAAGAAGTTCTAACACAGAGATGCTCACCACGGTGTTTTTAAACTAAACACTCTGGCAGCTTTGTGTGTCACTTAAGAAGCAGCTGTGGAGACATGGGAACAGTTTAATAGTAGACTTGAGCTGCCGACACACAAACACATACTCATAAATAGACTTATTGTACAAGCAAACACCCTCACATGCCAGAGCAGGCCATAATCAAACTGACTAAAAAGCAAGAAAGCATTACATGATTATTATCCACTCCTGCAGCCTTAAAATAAACTGACACACATCTCCACACGGGGACAGAGATGGACCGTGTGGTGTCATACATGCTAAACAACACATGAGAAACTGTCACAGGAAGAGGAAATGATGCACCGCTGTGCTTCATTCACTTGTTCTTAATTTACGCGATGCTGTCAGAGTTTGAACAACTGCTCTGCTGCATGACTCCCTGTGAGGAGAGACGAGATACTCCATGACTGCAGAGTGGAGTGTCATCCCACTCATCCTCTCCGCTTTCACTACGCTCTGTGTCTGCGAACGCCCCCGCTTTGATGTGGGAGCTCAGGCAGCCCTGGGAGAACACGCCGACTCTGCACACATTTCTAAAAATAGATTAAGTGAAACGCAGCGACTGGAGCTGCTTCAAAGCAGGAGGAGAGAGGAGCTCGGCGCGCGAGCCGCAGCCCAAACATGGTTCGCCGGTGATGTCAGTATCGATGAAAATGACATTATCCTTCTTCCGTATACTAAATATGGGCATGGTTGTGAGCAAAAAAATAGGAGGCTCCTGCAGTTCCGGTTCCCCTTTGTCCATATAAGGTCTCTGCCATTCAAATGCAGCGTTAGGCAGGGATTGTACTCACTCAGGTCTGTGCTCAGACACAAAACCTGCTGGAAGCATGAGGAAAAACAGCCCTTTGGCTTTTCTTATCGTTTCCTGCAGTACAGCTAATTTAAAATCAGCAGACTGTACATCCAAACCCGCATTCAT